TGATACACATTTTTTTTCTAGGTGTTCTCTAGGTATCCACTTTTCTAGTAACATCTGGTATATATTGTTTGTGATCACCTCCTCCTAGAGGCTGGACTCCTTGCTCATGTGGTCCCTACATACTGATTTTCTCCGTGATGCTAGACATTGTACCTTATATTAGATACACTCTATATATACTAGATAAACTATGTATATCTATATAGTGAAAACCTGTTCAAACCCTGGGACAATTAGAAGAAAACTGGGATGCCAGTTTTGGGGAATAACACTAATTCCTCCTGCTAAGATCTTACTAAAAGAACTTATTGTAGACCGACAATGAGATGATGCAGTGGAGAGCAGATAGGGTAAGTTTGTTCATGCTGTATAACCTCAATCTTCTTCAGAATTTGAAACGTGAGTTCTCAGAAGGAGTTGTCCTGAGTTGAAGTCATTACAACGTAACAGACTGAATGTTAGTAGGATAAAAATAAAAGGAGAAATTTTATGAGTGCCTTATTCTCCTTGGTTATGAAGGGGCCTGGATTTACAAGTGTCCCTATCTGCCTCATAGTAGCTTTCTGTGGCTATCAAGACTATGTTGTCCCTCCACCCCCATTTCATTATGCTTTCTAACAGCATTTTTTGCTGCCTATTGCGTGTCTCATATCACACATCACAGCTGTAATCAGATAAGTATCTGTGGACTGCTTTATTAAAAATGTCTGTCTACCCAAGTACACAATAAGACTCAGTCTGTGTCTCTTTTGTTCATTGCATAGACACCTTGACCTCTATAGTGCCTGAAACACACTAGGTACCCAATAGATATTCGAGGAATTAATTATTTAATAAATACATATCTACATATATTTCCTTGATCTTTATGTTTATATCGCCCCTCTTCTATTGTGTGCATTAACCCCACTGACGATACTGCATGCCTCCCTTACTCTTTCTCTCCCCTCTGTTTTTGTATTGGCTACCTTTTTTCACTCTTTTTCTTATTCATATTCTAAGGATAGTCTCAAAACCTAAGAATATTCTCCTGAAAAATACCAAAACTTCAACTTCTTGATAAAACACTAATGATTTTTATTCAAACCTCAAGCTCAGTGTTAGTACATGTGCTTAGGTTAAACAATCACAGTGACATTTGGAAACTTTTGGAAAAGCACATGCACATTTTAATCTTAACCATATAGAAAAGCAATCTCTGTTAATATTTTACGTGTGGTATATGCATTAGAAGAGTATTTTGGGGCCAGACGCAGTGGCTCACGCCTGTAATCCTAGCACTCTGGGAGGCCGAGGCTGGCGGATCGTTTGAGCTCAGGAGTTCGAGACCAGCCTGAGCAAGAGTGAGACCCCCGTCTCTACTAAAAAAATAGAAAGAAATTAGCTGGACAACTAAA